GGAGTTGTATACATTGCTGATGCGTGTTTATAAACCAGCAACTGGGGGGCATGGGGTAGGAGGAAGCCCTGATTTGTAAAATTTGCTAATTTCCTTGGTATAAATACTCCCACCACCATGGCCAATTTCAAACTTCCAGCAAGAGGTCCTGAACTTCTGAGTTCAGAAGAGATGTAAGTAGTACAACATTATAGCATGTCTGCCCTACGACAACAACAGATGCAAATAGTCGTAAGAGCACAGGAAATAGTAAATGTACTTTTGAGTATTACTTTTGTTCTTAATACAGCTTACTTAATCGTAAGTGCATGACATTTACTTTTTAATAATGGCCATGTTTAACAACCAGTTCGCAAAATTCTTGAAAATTTAATAATCAGTAAGCCTGTATGAGCTGGCTCCAACATTCCACACCTAAGTAAGTAAGGGAAAGGAAAAATCAGACTGAAAACCATTAAATGCTATTTGCTGTGCTTTTTTTTTTTTTTTTGGTATAGATAGGGAGACGTAGTGGAAAACTAAAGAATTTTTAGGGTTCTAAAAATGTCAATATGTTCTGCTCATTAGTCCCCCCAAAATGTAAAGTATTCTCAAGAAAATGAGATGTTTCAAAGAATTTCAGGGCTACAGAGGTGAGAACTTAAAATACAGGTAAATGTCCAATTTTATAAAGGCTATCTATCTGAAACGGTTTCCATGTGCTCTACCTATAGCAAGAACGATATGTGAATTAATTTATCAATTTTTAAAACCTGTTTTACTGCTATCAAGCAATGCAGGAAGACTCAATTGCTAAACAAATCCTGGGCTGGGCCCACCTCTGCCAGAGTCAGCAACCCCTTTAGCTCCATCTGTTACCAGCACTAGGAATCCCGCCTTTACAAGACTCAGCATTACAGAGAAAAGAAAAAGGAGAAGAGTTGGAAGGAAAGGGAGAAGGGAATAAGGAAGGGAGACATAAAAGCTAGTGTTAAGAGTGCCACCAATTACAGCTTTGGGCACTGACAGTTATCAGAGACGTGTGCACTTGGGCCAAAGGCTGTAGTCACTTGTTTCCTTATTTCAGCATCTGACCTCTGCAAAGATTAATGCATACTACCATGCAATCATTGCCATGGTACGTTCACAGCCTTCGTTCTTGAGATGACAAACATCTGGATAAGTGGTCCTTCACACGTTTTCCTGATGTTTGCAAGTATCTGGATGGATCATGCCATGTAGACTAAAATCGGTATAATTAACTTGAATGTTCACCTTTTATCCTGCAATCTTGTTACACTAAAGAAAAAGCAATACATCCTTCTGAAATTTGCCAAAATAACGCGGTCATGTGTATCAGACAGCCTTGATTAATGTACAATCACTATTGTTTTACTTGGTTGTGTATTGTTTCAAAACCTCCCTCTTACTAAAACTTAAAAATATCCCATCCTGTCTGGAGAATTTTAAAACAGCTTTGTAAAAAGTTATCCATCAGAGTCATGTTAAAGATTGCATTTATGTTGAATAATTAGTAAAGGTAGGTGTGCCAATTCATTTTGCTACCCGTGAGTCTGGCTTGAAGCTATATTTGTGGGTTAATAAACACTTTATACTTCTTTACTGAGGCTATGTTAAAGTATCATAATGCTGTCTTGTTTTTATGAAGATGATCCCATTGATTTTTGATCAGTGGGGCATGTGCATTCAGTGATATTTCTGGAACTAAGAATTTGTGCTAAATTGGGTTGCATTTCTCACCCAGTGAAAGATTGGCAATACTAACTTCTTATATGGTCAGCAGAACACTTCTGCTGTATTTGGCCTAACTCAAAGCTATGCATGTAAACAGAGATAGGCCTCTATCATAATCAGTTACAAACACACTTACATACTCAACGCCTTTCAGTGGTTATAAAAAGTTCATGTAAGCGAGACAACCCAATATGAAAGTGGTTAACTCCTTTTCGATCGTTGTCACCCACTAAGACCTGCCTACGTCCACTGGTGCAAGTTGCCAGAGGTGCCCATGAGCAAATAAGACAATCGTATGTATTTAAAAATCCCAGATAAATAAGTAGTGCTAAAAAAAAGAATAAAACTTAAATATTAGTTTTGTGGTTAACGGAAATCAACAACCTTTGATAAAATAGTCCCGGTGGGGGAGAAGCGCTTTTGTTCATTTTTAAATGGCTGCCGCGGTGAAACCTCGCTTCTTGTAGAAATTTACTTTCGGTCTCCTTCAACTCGCTTTTTACGAACTAGGTAAGAAAGAAAGAAAGGTTAAAATGACACAATGAAGGGATACTCCTTAAATTTCAGATAAACAACATTAATCACACAGAACAGCAACCTCACACACTGGAGGATACCGTTATCTTAAATTTCAATATTCAATTACCTACTGGATTATTCTCTCATTCTTACTTAAGAATGAGAGAATAAACCCAGTGTCATGTTGGATTTACATTTAAATAAAGCTACGTCTGATAGGAGAGAATTTGAATGTTAGGACTTTCCCAGTCCTATGGAGTAGAATAGATCCACAATGTAGTGAACTTCCAAATAGTTTCTTGGTCACTTATCCACAGCCCTTCTCAGCTTCTGTGCAACTCAATCACCTATTAGCTTTAATGCCCCAGGATGACACATTCACAACCTATTACTTCTGATTATGGCTTGCAGACCAGGAGGATCTGCAATCGAAAGTTCAAAGTTTCTAAACCTGTTTTAAATCAAATCTCCTACATATCAACCTCCAAGGAAGGTGTGATTCAGATGGCAACCAAACTTAGAGATTAAGGTTCCCTTAAGCTGGTTCTTGGTATCCAAGAAGTTGCCTGGCTGCCCATTCCCAGTTTCTGCCATTGTCTTCTTCCCCCTTTCATGTCCCCGCCTGCAGGCTCCTCTAGTGGGTAGCAGGAGGGCTACTCTCAACTTCCTGGATTTGGCAAAAATGGTGCCCTGACTGTGGCCCTGCTCCAACTCTCCACTTTAAATAGCCCAGCCTACTCCTGCCTCGGCTGCGAAAATGCAAAGATCTAGCCCAGTGGTCGGCAAACTGCGGCTTGCGAGCCACATGCGGCTCTTTGGCTCTTCCACAAAATACCTCGTGCGGGCGCACAAGTACAGTGTGATTGAAACTTCATGGCCCATGCGAGAAGTCGGTATTTTGTGGAAGAGCCACACTCAAGGGGCCAAAGAACCACATGTGGCTTGGGAGCCGGTTTGCCGACCACTCGTTTAGCCCTCAGTTACTGCTCCTGGGCTCAGGATGGCCCCTCCATTTACTTCAAACCTCTCGTTGTGCCTGTTCTTCTTTGGTCTCCATGTTGTTCGGCTGTGGACCCCTCCGCTTTCCCTATGCATCTTCCAACTGTTGCCTCCCCGCTTCCCCAAAGCCCTGTTTGCTGGGATGCCTCCTTAGCCTCACCCTCTGCAGCCCAAAGGCCAGCAATGCCATCTGCCCGGCCAGCCCCCAGATGCCACACATGGCATTCTGGCTGGGCCTCAGGGGCTTGGCTCAGCATGTGCGGGCAGAGAACTGGACACTAATTTCACCTGCTCCCTTCTGGTTCTAAGCCTTCAGCTTCTATCTTGTCTACTATCTGAATCCTCCCTGTGGCCAGCACCATATTTCGTAGAACACTGTGCCCAGTTCCCCTGTCCAAGGTCTGGTTTTCTGACCCTGAACCTCAAACCGGGAGCTGAGGCCTGCTATTGGCTAACTGCTTGCCAAGTGGACTGTCTACATCTGGATGCCCTTTTGCGATGCTGCGTCAAGTGGCGGGGATGTCCCCAGACCACGCCTTCCCAGCCTGTCCCATTCTCCTGTGCTGTGGTTGACTAAGACCTGCCCCACCTCATGTGAACAGAAGAAATGTGAACAGATCCTCAGCAAAGAGCGGGCAGCAGGAAACATTCACGAGAGGCTAGCTGAAAAAGCTACTTCTGCGTTTCCCTTCATAGCAGAGTCCCACTGGTTCATTTCATATGTAAATTACCAAAGTATCAGGCATATCCATGTTTAAACCCAACTACAGAAGCACAGTCAGGCACAAACCAAGTGAATTGGGAATGTCAATCCATCTCCTGGTGCAGGTAACAGCAGAGGGTGATTACATGCAATAAGTAAGGAAAGGAGAAGCAAATACATAAAGGAAACCAAGCAAAAATCACAGGTTTTCGGGAAAAAAGAGCAAACAGTTCCTGAGAGAACGCTACAATAAAGCTTAAACTGTGAAGATGATGAAGATCCCCATGACCATGTAATAGTTAGCCTTTGATGAAGGGCTGGCACCAAAGGCCAGTTGGCTGGTGAGATGTTAGAGCTGAAGTGGAGAAATGAATGGTCATCATGCTTTTCTAGTTGCTAACAGCACCACAGTATGGCCGCATTACCCAGGTCATTATTCTTCGTGATGGCAGCTGCCACCCTCGTTCGAGGCCCTTGCTTGGTAAACTGATATCCAAATTTGAGGATCCTTGAATTCTCCTCGAGCATCTGGGCAATTTCCATCTCTACGGCTGTTCCCAACTGCTGTCTCTGGTTGCAGGTGCAGGTACATACATAGGATGACCAAGAAGAACGAGGAAACAGTTACTTGTGTGCAAAAGTTACGTGGCTACTTGGACAAAACCAAACAAAACAAAGAACCAAAAGTCTCCAAATGAATGGAAAAAAGTCACTTGAGTTATTTTCTTCCATGCAATCATTTGCTCCTTGTCTGGAAGCAAAACCCAACAGATAGATAGCCAAATCGGCTGGCATGCTAACCTGAGAGGACTAAGCCAATCATTTATGAAGGAAAAGATGATTCCAGATGTAAAATGAACGCAAAACCAGTATTTGGTGTTTCCAATCTACCCCAGTGTTTATGGTTTAAACAAAGGGTGTTTTGTTTTGTTTTGTTTTGTTTTTTAATAGGGAAACTGTCTTATACCAATCAATCCAATTATTGAATTTTCTATTCTGGGATCCATATCCAAAAATAATGAAAGATCATCAATTAATTGGCCATTCTCTCTCAGCAGAATCTCACTAGGATATCCCCAAGAGGCTTTTCCATAGTCAAGTGAGTTATCACGCACTGAAGGGGTTACTGGTGTTGGGGACCGTCATGCTGCTGGCAAAGTCTAAGCTGACCAGAGGC